ACTATGGGAAACCAATTGGTCACTGAGCTGCCACAGGCTACATCTGAGCAGAGGTTCTAGTTTATATCCATACATGGTCCTTGGTTGAATGACAGTCTCTGAGAAGACCCTGTGCCCAGATATATTTGGTCCTTGTGGAGCTCCTATCCTTTCCCCATCATACTAACTCCCCTTCTTTCATATGATTTCCTGTACTCTGCCGAAGGTTTGGTCATGAGTCTTTGTATCTGCTTTGAAAACACTGCTAGTTAGAGTCTTTCAGATGCCCTCAGTAGACTCCTGTCATACGTTCAATGCACATCCCATCTGTCTTTCTAAACGAGGATTGATCATCTTACCCCATGTCTGCTCTCTTGATTATCTTTTTAGGTGTATAGATTTTATTATGTTTGTCATATCTTATAGGACTATATAAGTGAGTATATACCGTGTTTGTCTTTCTCCTTCTGGGATATTTCACTCAGAATGATCTTTTCTAGATCCCACCATTAGGTCATCATTCTTAATGAAATCCTGTATCAATAAAGAACAGAGCTAGGGATACAGCTCAGTGATAGAGTACATGCCTAGCACATAAGAATCCCTAGATCCAATCCCTAATCCTGGACAAAATATTCCATGTTCAGGTGTTCCTTAACAATAAAAAAATCACCATCTTACAAATGCTTACATTTTTATCTTTAAAGAAACACATTGCTCTAGAGTAGAGACAAAGTATGAGTGGTGAGTTGGTAGCATATGCCCAATGATGTGACCCATCATGTTGTAGTGACCCCAACCATGAAATTATTTCATTGCTCCTCATAAATGTATTTTTTCTTCTGTTATGAATCCTAATTTAAGTATTTTATATGTGACCCAAGGGGATCATGACTCACAGGTTGAGAAGTGCTGTTTTACAGAGTTCAGTGGCTAACTCGGCAGCAGTCCCCATGCAGTGTGCAGACGGGCTTTCTGTCCTTTCAGTGCTTGTGATGAGTATTTACTCATAGACTTCCCGATCTGAAATTAATCTGTCATTTTTGTCACTGTGCAAAAATGGTTTCTTCCACGACATTTGCTACTTTTTGTCTTATCTATTCTACTGTTTGTGTAAAATTATGAAACATCAATATTTATAAATAGCTTGGGGAATTTTTTGATGTTTTTTCTATTTCTTTCATTCTACTTATTTACAATTCTCTAAATCAATACTTCCAAAGAACACACTTACTACTTAGAGTTCCAGCGTCAACTATCATCATAAAACCAGTACCAGGGCGGAATAAAAAAAAGAGTAAACTAAAGGCATGATGCCATATTTTATACCTTTTTTTTGTTTGGATAATAGTCTCCCAAAAAGCTGCCAATGTCTTTCTTTTGAAAAAAAAAATCTTTGTAGTATGTACCAAATCACGAGAAGTAGGTTATTTGGATGAGGGTAATGTTACCTCTTACAGGTACATTCATTCTTGAAATGTTTTTTTTTTACTTGTTAGTGTCTTAGCACTTAAGAGAAAAAAAACCTTTGTTACCATTTGCTTATCAAATGAATGGAGATCATCACAGTTGTTGATTCTACTGTTTAAGCCAAAGCCATGATATGGCAGACTATTTCCCCAATATCCACCAACCATGAAAGAGGAAAAGAGGAGGCAGAGGGGTGGAAAAGGTTTCTGTGATTTGTGAGTTGAGGGATAGCAAACAGGTATGTACAAAGTTTCTAGAGTAGAACTGTAAGCTTTAAATCATATTAAAACCTGAACATATAATGCTTTCTATAAATTTATCTTCTCTCTCCATTTAGAAGACATTGTTGTGAAAAATACACACATGCCGTAAGAGTGAAGAAAAAACAAAAGCAAAAATGGGAGCCTTGAAACAAACTTAACATATCCAAATTAACTACTTGTGAAGTATGGGGGGGGGGATCAATCCTAGGTTTTGGCTGTTTGTCCCATAAGGTGATACTAATAAGTGTCATTTGTACACTCTACATGAAGGCATGAAGCAAAGCCATCACATGCTGTCCTGTGCAAAGCCATCACATGCTGTCCTGTACAAAGCCCTAGATTGGTTTCAACAGACATTGGAAAACTATCACACAAGCATGAGAAGTTAAATGCTTGGTTTGTTCTGTTCACATGACACCAGGCAGACTGGTCTGACTGACACACACCGACGCAGATCTTAATAGCACCTGTTTGGGTTTACATGTGTAAAGACATCCTTAAATGAGAGACAAAATAAACAGACTTCTGAGAGCTTATGGCAGACCAATGAGTACCTATTTGTTTAGCTTTGTTCTCTTTTCCTCCTTCCATACACCTACCTGGCTATTACCAAAAAAAAAAAAAAAATTAAAGAAAATAAAATTATACACATTTATTGATCCATAAATGGAAGAAATAATATGGAACAGAAACCAAGACAACCAGATTAGCAATATGGTGCTTGGCAAGAATGAAATAACTGTTGTCTGCTCTAGAGCTCAACTTTACAAGTAGCTAGACTAGTGGTTCTCAACTTATGGGTTGTGACCCCATTGAAGGTCAAAGGACCCTTTTGCAGGGGTCACCTAAGACTATCAGAAAACATATATATTTATATTAAAATTCATAACAGTAGCAAATATTAGAGCTATGAAATAGCAATGAAAACTTTATGGTTGGGGTCACTACAACTTAAAGAACTGTATTTAAGGGACATTGCATTACAAAGGTTGAGAACCACTGGGCTAGACAGAGCTGATTTTGTGTCAGTCAGCCACCTTTTCTTCAGTCTTAGGGAACAAGTACTATTTCTGAGAACTCAGTTTTGTGAAGCATTTAAATCACTACTTAAGCTGCACAACATTTTTGTGAAGGAAAATTAAATTCAGTGTGCGACTGTATTATAAGAGGAGTATCATATGAGAGATTGTTCTCTTTATCACAACTGTAGCATTAGCTAAATTAACAGAAGTCTCTGAGACCTGCTCTATGAATATCTAAAAGAGACTTCTTCCTTGTATTTCATGGACGGTGTCAATACCTCCATAGTATGGAAGATTAGTTCAGATGTCCCACAAAAATGTGAGAAGCCAATAATACTTTATGGGTATATGACATTTATCCTAAAAAGAAACTCTTACTATCATGCTTCTTGACATGTCTTGATTTAAAAGCCTTAGATATCAGAGAATAACCAAAATACTGCATAAAATATAACTATATTGTAACCATTATGTCATTTTATGTTAGGCATAATTAGTTTTAATACAACCTATGATTTGTAAGAATGAGACTTGTTGGCATTTTTTTCAGCTTAGAATACAAAGCTTCCAGAAGGCTGTTATATGGAATAATAAAGTTATTCTTGATCAACTATGATTCTGAATAGTCACACACTGACTAATAGTAAAGAGAATTTTTAAATATTAAAAAAACTGGTAAGTAATTGAAAAGCATTTGTAATCAAACAGTTCAGATGGCTGAAAGCTGCTCTACAGGAAGAAGACCACCTTCATTAATGGTGTTTAGATCTGGACATTGGGTCTTTAACAGGAAACTTTAGAGCACATTCAGAGAGCAATAAGGACACAGTCTTGAGACAGGCTACAGTATTTGCAAAGATTCTGCCTAGAGAAAAGAATCAGGTGAAACGTTTTGAAACACAGACAGGAGAAAAAAAGAGAGAAAATAAGGGAGGGAGGAAGGAAAAGAAGATGACGAGGAGACAGACAGATGTATAAAGACTATTTTAGTGTTATCGGTGCCTCCAAGATAAGTCGGAAAATGCTGACTCAATATAACAGGATGATTAGTTTGTTGTTTAGGTAGAATACACTACTTCAAGAGGTAACAGTTTCTCCAATATTAGACATGCCCATATACAACTTGCCTTAGCTATTATGAATGTGTTTTATACAGAGGAAATGCGTTAGTAAAAGAAATCAGCAATCTTAACAAAGTTTGACACCTTTATGAACGTTGTACAACATACATGAACACAGACTGAAATAACATCTCATTTATGTGTTGCCAAAACAGAGTGTCTTTGTTAGCAAAAGGTGATCATCTGTCTACATGCCCTTCACTATTTCCACTTTCTTGAAGTCCCTCCTATGAATAGCTACTGATATCTCACCTTGATAAGTATATTTAATACAAGTACATTCTAAGTGCCTGTCTACTTATCACCATTATAGAAGTGATAATTTACAGTAGGAAAAAATTTCTGATAGGAAAATACCTTTGTATCATCATAAAAACCCTACATAGTCCTCTCTCTCTCTCTCTTTCTCTCTCTCAGTGTGTGTGTGTGTGTGTGTGTGTGTGTGTGTGTGTGTGTGTGTGTGTGGTGTGTTGAGCCTACCTACCTAAAAACTCCTCACTATGGCTCTTGGAGAAGGCCTAGTTCAGATGGGGTCTGGAAAAGGAACTCTACCTGAGTGCAGTATAATAATATGTAATATATACATGTTACAGAGAAAGTCTCAAGGCCAGCTGTGACTGTTAAACTAGCCATTCTTGTACTAATGAGTCTATAGCAGATAAGACATATAATGCACTGATGTAACAATACAATCAAGGCAGGATCTGCAGAACATTTACCAAAATAGGAAGGCTTTGGGGTATTCAATAGGCTTTTGTTTTAGCTTAGAAAAAACTCTGGGAAACTAAGATGTGCTCATAATCATGAGAGCTGCTGCTCTAATTCTGCTGAGATAAAATGTTGGCACGCTATCTCTGTATTATATTTAAAGAGACACAAAAGCAGTGTTTCAGGGAAACAGTTCTGAACTGTGTTAAAGGGGAATATATCAAACGTCCTATCCATCAGTAAAAAACAAAAGGATGTTAGGTGTTGTCTATAATCTCAGTGCTTGGTAGACAGCCTGAGCTACATAGTGAATTCAAGTCAAGACTTTCATTCCTTTATCCCCTAAAATAAAATTACTTAACCTTTAACCCAAGGCAAGAAAAGTAACTTGAGACAAATTATAACTAAATTATGGCTTATTATGGCTACATACTTACCCACTCCTCTGCTCATCATGGAGACTTATTTCCAAGATTTCTCAAAAGGTTCTTAGCCAAGTCTACATCCTTGAATACGATGCTGTTCTACAGTAGATGATGAATAGCAAGAGCAGGACCACTGAGAAGAAGAGAAAAACATGGAGTAGTTTCATCCATAAAAAGACTTTTCATCATATGAAAGAAGGGGAGTTAGTATGATGGGAAAAGGATAGGAGCTCCACAAGGACCAAATATATCTGGGCACAGGGTCTTCTCAGAGACTGACACTCAACCAAGGACCATGTATGGATATAACCTAGAACCTCTGCTCAGATGTAGCCCGTGGTAGCTCAGTGACCAATTGGTCTTCCATAGTGAGGAGAACAAGGACTATTTCTAACAGGAACTCAATGGCTGGCTCTTTGACCTCCCCAGTCCCCCAAGGGAGGAGCAGTCCTGTTAGGCCACAGAGGAGGACTTTGCAGCCAGTCCTGAAGATACCTGATAAAACAGGGTCAGATGAATGGGAAGGAGGTCCCCCCATCAGTGGACTTGGAAAGGGGCAGGGTGGAGATGAGGGAGGGAGGGTGGGATTGGGAGGGAATGAGGGAGCGGGACACGGCTGGGATACAGAGTTAATAAAATGTAACCAATAAGAAAAAAATAAAATTAAAAAAAAGACTTTTCATTTCCCCACTCCATTTGTTCCAAGATTCTTTCTATCAACACAAACTTATTTAAATTTGACTAGTGACAGTAGAGGATGGTTCAAGAGAGCCTGATCTGTGGGCTATTTTGTTTAGCTTTATTCAGTTGTAAACTTAGAATAGCAGCATCTAAAGATTTTGCTTTAATAATCTATTGATATAGCATTGGAAAATAAGGACTGGGTTTTAAAAATTGAGAAAACGTACAATTGTTCCTTTGTGGCATTATTATATGTAATAGTACACAAATATACATATTATAAAATAAACTTTATCATAGAAAATATTGACAATTTTAGTATTTTTTTACAATTTTGGAGATATACTGCAATATCACCATAATATCCATTGTTCCTTTTTCTAACCAAATTATAATAACTCATAATCTATAATACCTCAATTTTTGCCTAAACTATAACAATATACCAATCTCTCTAGTCTCCCTCCATTCTGATCATAAAATGAAACAGATTCACCTTAGTGCACTACTTTGCAATTTTATGTCTGCCTAATGATATCTCCTCAGTAATGATAGAAAATGGCAGCATTATAATTTATTAAGCAAGTACTGATAAACTGTTCTCATTTATTGATCTAAGTAGTGGTTCAGATTAAACATGGGATATAAAAAGGATAATATAAATGACTGTCAAGTAGAAAATAGTAAAAGTGAACTAATTAGTGGAGAAATGACGAGAATGTTCATAAACATACTCATTAGACAACTGAAGACAAGGCAATGGAATGTTTTGAAATGGGGACCATAAATGGGAATTTGAAAATAAAGATGGGAGTCTAAGCATCAAGAAGAGATTAAAATTCATGAGCATACATGAATTCTCCAAGGAAATAGCTTTAAACAGGAAAGAACATAATGTCAAAGGTTGAACTTTAAAGAATATCTACCCTCAAGAGGACAGAATAGAAGCTAGAGTTGAGAAGCATTAAACTCACAGGCATGAAGAGATCTAGGCGAGGTCAGCACTACGGAGGTTCAGCAGAAATAAAATGCTGAAATATCAAAGAGAATGCAGATGAAAGAAGGCCTTGATATTTTAGTGATTTGAAAACCTTACTAAATTGAAATGACTTTTGAAGACTAAGAATCAGAAGGTTATAGTGATGATAAGTTTTATGAGGAATAGCAGTAAATGGAAGTGATAATAACTTTTACAGTACTTCCCAGCTTATGATGAATTTCTTGTATATATTGGAACAATATATACAATATAAAACTAACAAACTGGATAGTGACTTGTTCAAGTATAGGTAATTTTTAATTAAGTAGATTTGATGACAGGCAGAGACACAAGTAGAATCAGAGGAAGGGAAAAGACTGAAGAAGCTGGAGATGGGGAATGCAAGATAATGACAAACATGTGACAGGAACACAGATGAGCACAGATGCAGGAGCAAGTTTTACCAAGAACTATTAGTCAATGATGAGACCAAATGAGCTAACCCTTCAACCTTTCTTACTGCCCCCAAGAGTTTTTTCATTTTTAAATTAGAAAGCTTTCTACTCTATTGAGATATGATTGACAAATAAAACTCATATATTTAGAATGTTGTTTTGATGTATATATATATTTATATAAATGATTAGCACAATCAAGCTAATTATCATGTCAATCACTTCATCTGTGTGTGTGTGTCTGTATCTGTGTTATAGAAGTATAATTGATCTGTTAAAGAAAATTCCAACTATAGCATATATTTCTGTTTTCTATAGCCACCAATCTATACATAGCCCTTCAATACTCAGTCATCTCACAGTTAACATTTGAACTCTTTGACCAATAGATTCTCTTTCCTCTACCATTCACAAATAAACACTATCACTCTACTACTGACTTTAGCTTTTTGTTTTATTTTAGATTCTACGTACAAGTGTGGTCTTTCAGTGTTCATTGTACTGTGTCCAGTTTAGTTTATTTATCATAGTGTCTTCAATGTTAATACAAATGGTAGGCTCTCCTTTCTAAAAGTTAAATAATATTCTATTACATATTCACCAATTAGTGGATGCTCAAGCTCTCCCTTCTTTCTCAGCCTTGGATGGTATTGTAAACATACATGGGAGTGCAGATTTTTAGGTAAATTTCCAGTGGTACATTTGTTGTGTCATATGATAAGTCTTCTACTAACACCTTAAGACAGCTCCATACTTGTTTTCCCATTGTGCTTGTGCCAATTTACATTCCCACAAGCTTCCCTTTATATATGGAATATATTCTTGCCAACATTTGTTCTCTTTTGACTTTTTGATGATTATGTTAGTTAATATTGTGGATTTTTACTTCTATGATTAGTGGTATTGAGCATCTTATGTCTTATACTTGCAAGAATTTTAGATGTCTTCTTTAGAAAAAAAAAGTCTGTTTAGGCCCTCTGTCCATTATTTTTAATTGGGTTATTTCTATTTTCCTATTGATATTCTTATATATTTGGTATAATATTTATAAATATGTTCTATAATTTTTTTCTTGCATTACTTAGGACATGTCTCTGTGTTATTTATTTTGCTATGAAATACCTTCCAATTTGATGCAGTCTCTATTGTCTATTTTTGTTTCCATTGCCTGTATTTTTGGTGTCAAATACAAAATTCTACTTTAGGATCCATGCTAAGTGTTTACTCCATGCTTTCTCCTTGTCATGTGGTTTTAAATCTTTTGTTTAAGTCTTTAATACATTTTGAGTTAATTCATGTGTATAAGAAAAGGTCCAATTTCATTCTTTTTATATAATGGAAATCCAGTTTTTCTGATCCCTTTCTTTCGATGTGTATTCTTCATATTTCTACAGAAAACTGACTGCATATATGTGAGTTTAATTCTTAGTTTTCTATTCAGTTCCATTGGTCACGATGTCTGTTTTTATGCTAGTAATTTTGAGCACAATAATCTTTAAATATAGCTTAAAAACAGAAAGTGTAGTACCTTCAGCGTTTTAGCTCTTTGAAACATTTTATAGCTTCATGATATTAAAGAGGATTTGCTGTTTTCCTATGAAAGATGTCACTGCAGTTTTGTTAGAAATTTCATTGAATCTGTGCACTGCATTGGTTACTGTAGACATTTTTATAATATTTTTTCAGATGTATAAGTAAACTGATAACTTCCATTTATTTCCCATTTAAAAGTTATGTATTCAATGTTTGACAGTTTTTAATTAGTTTTTAATTTAGAGATCTTCCACATCATTAGTTAAGTTTATCCCTTAAACATTTTACTTTACTTTTAATTATGTGTGTATGTATGTATATGTCTGTGTGAGGGCATGTGCACAAGTTCAGATACCTGTATGTGACAGAAAAAGATGTTGAATTATTGGAGTTGGTTCTGAGCTGCCAGGCACATATGCTGAGGACTGAACTTTGGTCCTCTGCAAGTGCAGTTTGAGCTTTTAATGGCTGAGTCACTTTTCCAGACCCATTTTTATTCTTTTGAATGCTACTGAAAATGAAATTGCTTACTTGTTTTCTATTTTAAACAATTCTTCAGTAGTATATGCAAATACAAATAACTTTTGTGTGTTGACTTTTTATCTTGAAATTTTACTGAATTTATTCTGATTTTTGTGGCATTTTGGAAATATATATATATATATATATATATATATGATTTAGTCATCTGTAAATAAACAAATTTGCTACTTCCTTTCCAATTTGAATATTTTTGTCCCCATCTAATTATTTCAGCAAAGACCTTCAGTACTATTACATAGTTGAACAGAAATGACATTAATAAGCATTTCTGTCTTAGTCCAGATTTAGAGCTAAAAAGCTTTTCACTGACTTGATATTCTATGTGCACTTGTAATACCTGCCCCTTATTTTGCCAAGGTATATTTCTTGTACACTATAATTTTGAAGACCTTTTTCAACATGAGATGTTGAATATTTTTCTTGTACCTATTGATAATCATACAACTTTTTCATTATGTTGATATAGTGATTTAATTGATTTGCATATGTTGAACCACCACTTTGTTTTAAAAGCCTCAGCACTATAATCATAAATTTAACCCAAATACAGATGTTCTTGGTGGTTTAAAGTGATTACTAAACTAGTTCAAGAATTTTGTGCTACAAAAATGACTACATTTAAAAATTGATTTTCTTATTTATTACAATTTATTCATTTTGTATCCCAGCTGTAGTCCCCTCCCTCAACCCCTGCCAATTCTGCCCTCCCTCCTTCTTCTACTCCCATGACCCTCCCCTAGTCCACCGATATGGGAGGACCTCCTCTCCTTCCATCTGACCCTAGCCTATCAGGTCTCATCAGGACTGTTGGCATTGTCATCCTCTGTGGCCTGGTAAAGCTGCCCACCCCCCTCAGGGGGAGGTGATCAAAGGGCCAGCCACTGAGTTCCTGTCAGAGACAGCCTCTGTTCCCCTTACTAGGGTACTCACTTGGAGACTGAACTGACATGGATTATACCTGTGCAGGGGTTCTAGGTTATCTCCATGAATGGAAATCAATCTGGCATTTTTGTTTTGTTTGTTTGTTTGTTTTTTGTTTTGTTTTCGGACAATTAGGAATAGTGCTACCTCAAGATTTAGCTATACCACTCCTGGGTATATAACCAAAATATACTCAAGTATACAACAAGGACATTTGCTCAATCATGTACATAGCAGCTTTATTCATAATAGCCAGAATCTGGAAACAATCCAGATGTCCCTCAACTGAGGAATGGATACAGAAATTATAGTACATTTACACAATGGAATACTACTCAGCAATTAAAAACAAGGAAATCTGAAATTTGCAGGCAAATGGTGGAAACTAGAAAAGATCACCCTAAGTTAAGTGATCCAGAAGCAGAAAGACACACATGGAATATACTCATTTATAAGTGGATATTAGACATATAATATAAGATAAACATACTAAAATCTGTACCTATAAAGAAGCTAAGCAAGAAGGAGGACTCTCGGTAAGATGCTCAATCCTTATTCAGAAAGGTAAATGGAATGGACATTGGAAGAGGGAGAAAACAGGGAACAGGACAGGAGCCTACCACAGAGGACCTCTGAAAGACTCTATCCAGAAGGGTATTATAAGCAGATGTTAAGACTCATACCCAAACTTTGGAGAGATAGAAAGACCTGAGAGGGGCAGGAGCTCCACAAGGAGAGCAACAGACCCAAAAAAATCTGGGCCCAGGGGTCTTTTCTGAGACTGATACTCTAACCAAAGACCATTCATGGAAATGATTACATTTTTAAAAATGAGATTCTAAGTGTCCCCAAATAACAATGTTCTAACTTTGTATTTATAGTTCATATAATACTAATATACATATTTTTCATTTGATCTTCATAAATCTAGATATTACTTAAATCAAGGAAAATTAACTTAAAATATTTCAGTTGATTTCAACCTCCTATCAAGCATGAATTTTTGTCCTATTATTCATAATAAAGGCTTAGGAAACAGTAATATTATAAGAAGAAACTTAAAAACCACTGTCTTCATTTATTATGTATTTTGAGATTATTTCTATGGTTTTGGTACTTTTTTTGTTTTTTACCAAGGCATAAAGAACTATGATGCGCCTGGTGTAGATCATAAAAGGCAGGTTAGCCTACCCAAAGATTATATAGTGCCTGGTTTCCCTTGGCTTTGATAAAAGTCCTAGGCAACTTAAAGTAATATAAATAAGCACAAAGTCTTGCAATTCAGTTTAATGAGTCAGCACATTGTACAAAGTGTAGTACTTGGAATGTTCTAATAATATGTGCCTAAAATGTATGTCACAGGGGAAATAAAGATGTTTGGGAAGAAGTATAAGCTCTTTTGTACTTACAAGGTCAGGTTGTAGGAGCAGACAACTCTACCTGACAAGAGTTAATCTTGTGTTGCACTACAAGGTTTCTGACATAGAATAAGGATAGATCATGATAGACTACTGTGTTTTCCTTTATGCTTTACTAAATACTAAACTTCATATGTTTATATGTAGATCTATCAAATCTTCAGCTTCCAAGTGTCTATAATGACAGGGGAACTCAAAACAATGTGATACCAGCAGCATTTAAAAGAAGAATTGGTTCTGTCTATTGGCCAAGCTCAAATGAAGAAAGTTCAGAGGAATTAGGAATGTTTAGTTATAGGTTTAAACATACACAAATGAGGAGGTATTACTGTGAAATGCTGTTGAATAACACATTCCTCTGAGATTGAAACATTCCATTCCTGCAGAAAGCTCCTTAAATGAAAAGGTAAACAAATAATCAGGAAGTCCCTAAAACTTACCAGATTCACTAGGCCCTCCCTGCCAGAGTAGACAATAAATGCTGAGTACCACTCAGACCAAGAGAAGCTGATCTATAAAGAAGGTTCTCAGAGGATAAAGCTGCGAAGAAGTCCCTGAGACCAGACCAGCTCCATGGAAGAAGCAGAAAAACCAGATGAGCTGCCTAGGTTTAGACCAATCATTTGGTAAGGACACTCTAATTTGTTGAGCCCCAGTCTGTGCAGTGTACTCCAGGTTTCCCATCTTTTGTGAGCTGCCACTCATGCTGGGGAGGGCCTGTGATGCAGCTGTCTTTGAGTCTTTTTTTTTTTTTTTTTGCTCCTGTAAGTAACCCCAATAAAACACATTTGTTCACTAAGTTGACTTTGGTGGTATCCATACTTTGGTCTGTTGATGACTCCCTATCTGGGGGTAGAGTTGAATGTATTTACCACACAGTTTGAGGTAGGGCTCAAATGGTAGGGGTTTAGACTGTGATATCAAACAGCTAAGGTGCTATTTTAAATGATACCTGGGAACGTAAGAAAGAGGTTACATGAACTTGAAAATTTGTGCCAAAGGTTATCGAAATAGAACAGTGACTTCTACTGCCTCTTATGTGTATAATGGCATTCCTTTCTACTCCTACTTGTTTATTATACTTTGCTTTAATTGGTGGCTACAATTTATGCCTGATTTTTTGTTGTTGTTGTTGTTGTTGTTCTGCTTTATTTCAGTTCAGTCTGGTGGCTCTTTCTGACCAAAGAGTAGCATGTTTTGGTACTTTAGATATTTATGCCTGAAAAATAAATATCATAGGGTTTTCTAAAGGCACCTCGCTCTTAATAAATATAATGGTTCATGGCATTCTATTGGATCTCAACCCAGCTAGGTTTTAAGTACTGAGGAACTTTTAGGAATGTTACAGAAAGCAAACTCCTGCCTTCCCTGTTATGGTTATCTGAGATATCTGCCTCAGGTTCTTGGTCTAGTTGTTGATACTATTTGGGAGATTGTGGAGAACAAGACCTGGATGAAGTCAGGTCACTGGAGTCAGATCCTTGGAGGTGTAATATCCTTGGCCACTCCCTGCCACTATCTATGCTTTCTCATCTGCCATTATTGAACATGGCTTCCCACCATAACAGACTGAATATAACAAAACTGAACCAAAATAAACCTTTCCTCTTTTAAGCTATGTCAGCAATTTGGAAATAGTAATGGAAAGTAACTAATATACTCTCTTTGCCCATGATGCCCTACTCACAGCTGACCGAATGGGGTCTCCAGTAGGGATATAGATTCTCAGCACCTAGTATACTCTCCTGAATATACCAAGTGATAATATTTGTATGAGTTAGTGTTCTAACGTACACGTTATATTTTGCAATTATAAACTGTTGTGCAGTTTACAGTTTCTCTTGTGATTCATGAATTTAAGAATTCTCTGAAAGATGAACCCACTGTGCTTTGGTTCTCAATATCCAATTCTACTGATCTAGGCTTTTGAACATAAGAAATTCACCAATAACTACTGTCTTGTCCTTTCTCTTGACAGGTAGTAATTTACTCTCTCCTTGGGGACTAACCTACCTTAATACTGGAATTTTTTTTTTTCAAACACCAAAACAGAGATCCATCTTCATTAATGCCGAAGTTCATAACGAGGACATTTCACTTAATGACACCAAATTACCTTACACAGATTTTTATCAACCTGCAATTGTGCCAAGTTTTCTCACGGCTTATTTTATCTAAAGTGGGTCCTTCCATTTTATGAGACTTCAGTTAATTAGATTCACTTGTTTATGGCTAAATGGATGTGACTAGAAAAGGTAGCATATAGTAATCTATATGTGAATTGTGAATTGTTTTTATTAGTGAATATCAATGTTTAAAATTGGAAAATCAGTAAACACAGAACTTAAATAATTACCAATAGCCATAAATATAAAGGGGGAGAGGGGCATCTTTTGATCTCTTGATATCAAGAAAACAAAAATATTCCGAATCAGCAAATGGTAACAGAGGCCAACAGGCTGTCACCTGTGTCGACTTTATTGTTAAAACGTTTGCACCGTCACTGATTGCACTGCAATATTTTAGGTGGTCCTGGAAGCAATGGGGCATGCAAGGAAGCGCATCCCTGGAGGCCCACAGGTCCCTCTTCATTTTCCACTGTAACAAAGAACAGGTGATGCGCTCCCGCCTGCATTTTCAGTCAGAACAATGCCCGGCCCAGGGAGCGCACCGAGGCTTGTCTGTTCGGTGAGTGAGTGAGAAGGAAGGCTGACAAGTGGCTGTCAGCCGGCGGCGGCTTCCCGCTGCCTCACCTGTCCTGCGGCACCGAGCCGAGTTCGCGCTCGCGGGCCCCGCGCAGTCCTCAGGTGGCCGCTCATTTCTCACAGCCCGGCCTTCTGAGGACCCTGGGCGGCGCGGGCCTCGGTTTCCCAGCCTGTGCCCCACAAGCCGCGGCGCGCGCTCGCCTCAGCAGCCGGCCTGGGCAGTCCGGCCCGGCCGCCATCGCCCGGCGGCCGCGCGACGCGCCCGAGCCCGCGCTTCCCTCGCGCGCCCCGTCTCCTCTTCCAGCCGGAGGCGCCGCGGGCTGCGACGCCCGGGAGGCCGAGGGCGCGTGCGCGCGGCCGGCGGGCTCGGGGTT